CCCGGTGACCCAAAGACCTGCCCGGGTCGATTACCGGGCCGGGTTTAAAAACTATGATTTAAATGGTATTTTATTTTCCACCTTCTACAAGATATACTACACTGGCTAGTACATGATTAATTGTTGACTTGTTGGTGTGTTGCAGACTATGGAACTCAAGATTTGGTTCATGCATGAAGACATGCAGCTTCTTTTCTCTTTGTTCTGTTATTTTGAGTTGTAAAAGGAGTCGTGAGTCACTTACAAAATCGTGTAGCGTTTTAATTGTTTGTTCTGTTTTTAATTTTCCGCACACGTGTGTTCACACGTGTTGCCTGGTAAGTGGGGATTATGGGATAGTTTGCATGTTAAGTATGTTTAGTAGCTGAGAATGGTTTTTCTGTAACTTTTGAGCTCGAAGCTCGAACATTAATGGCGATCTGATTTTACTGAAAATATTTTCTTCTTGTTCGTACTGTTTACGCTGTTTACATAAAAATCTACATGGTATCTAGAGCAGGTTAAGAGATGGCACACCACAACGATGAACAAGGTCGCCAGTTGGTGGGAAGAGGAATCTACGCGCGTGACACAGATCCTCTCGCCTTACATGGATCCGATCATCCTGGATTAATCCTTGTCACAAATCTGTTAACAGGTGCGAATTACCTCCATTGGAGCAGAGCAATGAAGCTTGCTCTAGGTGCGAAGTCAAAGCTTGGCTTCATCAACGGAACACTGCAAATTCCAGATCTAGGGTCTGAAGAACATGAACAGTACCAGAAGGTGGAATTTATGGTAATATCCTGGTTACTCAACACGATTTCAAAGGAAATAGTAGGAGCTTTCATGTATGTTAAAAATTCTAAGCAGCTTTGAAATGAGCTAGCAGAGAGATATGGTGAATCTAACGGGCCTTTGAGGTATTTACAGAAAGAAATTGCTACATTTGCACAAGGCACAATGACTGTCACTGATTACTACACAAAATTGAATTGTTTGTGGGATGAGTTTTCCTTTCTTGTGTCAATACCTGACTGCCATTGTGGATCTGGGAAGGCTTTTATTGAATTGGATATTAAATTAAGCTGATGCAATTCCTTATAGGCCTAAATGAGGTTTTTGAACCAGTCAAAAACCAAATCTTATTGCTTGATCCTTTGCCAACCATAAATAAAGCTTATTCAATGATTTTGAAAGTAGAAAAGCAGAAGAGTTTAAATATAAATGTGAGTCAGTTTGAAAACTCTGCCATGATGGTGAAAGGGACTGCAGGAAGAGGAACTGGTAGAGGGCAAGGCTTTGGAAGAGGAAATGGAGGCAGAAACTTCTCTGGACAACAGTCTAAAGGAAGGGGGTTGCCAAGAATGTCAAAAGAAGAGAGAGAAAAACTCTATTGCACACACTGTGGATATAATGGCCATGAGATTCAAGGGTGTTTCAAATTGAATGGTTATCCAGATTGGTTCAAGGAGCTAAGAGAACAAAGACAATACCAAAGTGTTAACATGGCAGAAAAGAATAATCCTCCTAAGGCATATTCAGAAACTAAATCACAGCACAGTGATTCATCAGCTGACATTGGTTCCCTTATTGAAAAGGAAGTGGCTAAATA